TTCAAAGTTCTCGCTCGAGCGAGCAACGACGAAACGAGGAGAGTGGATGATCAACAGAGACGCGGCTAATGACCGTGGTTAAATACTGATACGCCAGATAACGATAACGGAGCGAAGCGGAGGGAGGATCCGGTGCTGGAGAATCGCTCGAGTCCGTTTAATGCTTTCAGAAGCGAAGAGACAAGGAACAGAGGCAATTAGAAGGGGCGACGAAACGTCGAAATAGAAACAATTATGAGCGGAAGGTAAACTCCTTCTGCGTGGAGCATTGCGAACGCTACGGACAAACGGCGATAGCCATCCACTGGCATGGCGCCGTGTTGACGCGGATATAAAGCTGATTGTTCCTAAGAAATTAATTAAACGCAGATTGATAGACACTGCGGCCTCGTCCCACGTTACTACTATACGGAGAACGTTACATCGATTAGGACAGCAGCCTCTTGGCTCACGATTCTCCTAAAATTTCTTCTCGTTTCTACGGGTTCTCTTAAAAGTTAAATTTTACGAGGTCGTAAGAAATCGCGAGTTTTCGCATCGAGGCAGCGCGAACGCTTAAAAAACGAGACACGGGAGGAATATCGTTAGCGAATGTTGCAGGAAAGGCGCGATAAGCGCGGTGCAAAGCATTTCGCCGTGTAACGAATACGATCTCTCTCCGGGGGTCGTTACACGCGACGTGGCTCGCGGCATTGTCTCGGCGTATAAGATGCGCGCTCTGCTGGAAACTCCAAAACTTGTCGCGCGCGATTTCTCGGAGCCTGTCTTCGCAACGACGAATAAACAACCGTCCTCGGTGGAATGGAGCGGCACACGCTCCGTCTGACTACACGTCGCTCATACCACTTACCGGTACTACTTGCCAGGTCTGACGGTATATTATGCACGTCACCACAGCAAAGTTCGGCGCCATGTACGAAAGAAAAACGCAATACACATAGCGAAAGATCATCCTCCTACCACCTGGGATTTTCCGTCAACGATATTTCCAGCTATGGCAGAGCGAACCGTGCAACCTATCATTTTGCATTCTGTCGTAGTCGTTGACGCGGTCGTGGGAACCAAGTTGTCGAGGATAGTAAATCGCCGCGATAGGAATCGAGAGGCTACATATAACCTTAAAACTCCCAACGAACGATCTATGACATCTTTCGCCCAATTGTTTTGCTAGAAAAATTCAAACATCCGTCTTTGTTGCATCGGGCAACGCTCTACCTAAACCAGGTCACACACTGCGGGCAAGATGGCAGCCAAATGTCTTCGGATCCTTACTGCGTACCCTCGATAGTCTCAAGTATCCTCCATACATCTCAGGAATTTCCTAGTCGAGGTCCTTCGAACAGATATTCTTTCGCTGAATTGTTTCCTAAAGTTTATCGTCCACCACGGGTTGACACGGGAAAGTTGCCTTTTCTCACGTATGAGGCCTCCCACTAGAAACTTTACTTCGAGGGCGGTTAGCGTCCTTCCTCATCCACCACCATAGCAAATAATCAATTAACAACGAAGCCTATTTCCCTCACTCTCTTAGCCAAAATCGTCACCAACAAATCCGATGGTCCCGTG